CGTGCGCGCCACGGCGAAGGCGATGGTGTTGCTGCCTCGACGGAAGTCTAGAGACCGAAGAAAATTCGGAGACCAGGAAATTCGACAATGAGACCTTCAAAGGAGTGTGGGATTTAGATTCTGGAGCCAAGATCCAAGATCCGAGATTCTTGGTTGACGTTGGAAGGGGAGCAAACATTGAAACACTTTAGCAGTTCAGTGGTTGGATTTCAACCGCTAAACCACAATAAGCAAAAATATAAAATGGTTCCCAACAACAACCATGGACAACCTGCTGCAACGAGGATTTCGACTTGTTTCAACCATGTTCCAAAAAATGTCATGCCGCACATCCCATGATGATCCAAGCGAAAAGAACCGGAACAGCCCTCCAACGGCGGCTGTTTCAGCCATGTCCAAAATACCAAGTACTGTCCAAGAAGCAGCGGTTGGGGTGCCGGAGGGATCTAAAGAAACTCAAACCCCGACACGTGACCTCGCTAGAAGACCAGCCCAGATGGCTGTTGCTGATTCTCCCTTTTGGAGTGGATCGCCACCAAAAAAATCCCCCAGAAAACGGAAAAAAGAAACAAATACACAACAACCAAAAAACAACGCCAAAAAAAACAAAACATGTAAAGATAAATAAGTATAGTAAATGGCCTTCCCAAAAAGTGTGAAGTCCAGGAACTCGGGGAGTGAGTAGTTGTCACGTTGGCCACGTTCGAAAAACTCGACAAGAGTGGGGCTTTACCCTTCGGGGTGGGTGGTTGGTGCTCACATGGTGTCAATGGGCCCCGATATCTGTGATGCCAAAATGGATGATTTCCATCTCCACAACTTTGCCCCTTGGAGGATTTTCTGCAGAAAGTGGCCCCCAAAACCCAATGTTCAGTTCCCCAATGGGTTCAGTGGGTAGCGTTCTTCAATTGAGCTAGGGGCTTTGATTTCTTCCGGGTCTTGGATTCAGACATTACCCGGGTTAACAGTTGTAACACCGACCACATAGCACCCCTGACATGAAACCCTTGATTAATCAACCATTCATTGTGGCTATGAGAATGCAATCAAAGAGACCCATTGCTGCGTTCCTCGAATCAGCCATCGAAATTCACCATGATTCTGGGGGCTCGACGCGCAAATACATTGCGTCAACGCATGCATGCGTGCCTAGCCTATAGACTCGCAACCGCTCCCTTCCTGCCTGTGTCCCAGACTGCCGTGGTACCAGAACTGCTGAATGCGTGAATGTTCAGCCCGTCGGCCTGCGCTGACAATGAGACCTTCAAAGGAGAGTGGGATTTTAGATTCTGGATCCAAGATCCATCATTCTTGGTTGACGTTGGAAGGGGAGCAAAACTTTAAATTTTAGCAGTTCAGCAGGGATTTCCCACTCAACCACAAGAAGCAAAAATGTAAACTGTTTCCCAACAACAACCATGGATTGTTGAGCGACTGTTGAGGGAAATCTGGGATCCATAAATGCCTCCCCTTGAACTCTAAATACCGGTAGTTAGATTTGCTCAAGGGCCAGTATTTCGATTTCATCATACCGATGCCTAGATTTCAGTGGGCATTCATAGATCCAATAAACCTCTCAAAAGTCCCGAAAAAATATTGGATTCGATCCAGAATTTAAATACCGGTATTAAGCTAAGAAATCTAAACAGCGGCATTCAGATTTCAGGGAGGCTCCAAGATGTCCATCAAAAGTCCCTCAACTATGTGGAAGCTTGGATCCATAAATGCCGGTATTAACAAATCTGAATACCGGTATTTAGAATCCAAAAACGTCAGTATTTACAACTATGGCACAACCCCCTTCCTTGGTGCCCAAGAATTCTAAATAAACCAGTACTTAGAATTCTGGCACACCCCCCTTCCATGGTGCCCACTATTGGCAAAGAAAATGCAAAAATCGAACAGGTTGCTGAAATACAGAGAAATAGCGGCACGAGGGGGGTGTGTACCAAATGCATATATATGTGTGTATATATATATACACACACATATATACATATATACATATATACAAACATACATACATGTATATATCCGCCGACAACAGGCGGCGTGTTGGACATAAGAAATGCTCCTTAGGAGGGGGGGGGGGGGGAAAAATAGTAAAAGGAGAATTCAAAGAATTATTCTTTCTACTATTTTTCTCCAACAGCAACACAACAAACAGAAAACAAAATCCAGAACAACAAGCAAACAAAATAAATAATCACAACCAGCAACAACAATATTTAATCACAGCATGCAACGTTAAATAATTCAAACAAGCATACCAACAAAACAGCAACACTCTAAATCATCAAAGAACCCAAACTCAAAAACACACATCAACAAAAAACAAAGCAACATACCAACAAGAAATATCACAAGAGCATCAAACAAAACAAAAACAAACAGCCAAAGCACGAAAAAATTGAAGAAGCATGCCAAGTCTAAACAACGCACTTTGAAAGAGATAAGCAAATTATAATAATTCAATCTTTACAAACGATAAATATATTACAATTATAACATATAATATTTTACATGTGATAATCATAGTATGATTATAATTTCAGTACAGGATAATAATTTAATTGATTTGTCTTACTTCTTTCATACATCATTTTAAAAATAATATTAATATCTCTCAATGTATTTTGAACATTAAAATTTTACTTTCAATAAATAATTTGATATTTTCTTTAACATCTTCTCCTTTCTCTTGACTATAACACAACATCCTTAATATATCATCAATCATACCATATTTTTCTTAGGGATTTTAAGAAACTGTTTAATATAATCGTAAGGTGGTATTTTATTTACAGTTAGAAATATTAAAATCTCATCTTCTATATTTCTATTATGTCTCCCTTTTATTCTCAACAGACATTTGATTAAAACTTGATTATCTCTCCATTCCTGACAAATTTTACATTCATCTTCTTCATCCATTGAATAATTAATAATATTATTCAATATTTTATTAGGTAAATTTAATTTATACAATTCCATATTTTCTTTTTTGAAGTGACAACAATCATAGCATTTTTTATTGATATAATTATTGATTTTATCACCGTTCATTTTCCTCTTATTATATTAAGGCACTATTTCTTTAAGTCATTTTTTAGGCATTAATAAAAATTAAGAAACTAACCATAAGTATAGTATAATTATAGCATATAATATTTTACATGTTATAATTATATTTCAATTAACTTTTATGGGTTACATTTATAGTCAGGCAATATGTCTTCAAATATGTAATCTACATATTTATCAATATCGCCAATGTCTATATATTTGATATTGTCTTTTCCTATTGTTGAATAAATATATTCCCAGAAAAACAAATTAACTAGTAGCCATACTTGATATTTAGTGTTGTAGTAAGACCATACATGATATTTAGTTATTCTAAATTCATTCAAGACCTCGTTTATTTTATCTTTACTTAATAAATGCCAATCAATCGCTTCAAACATGTCTCGAAATTTTTTAACAAATGCTTTATATGGTTTAATTGCGTTGTCCCTCCAAACCTCTTAATTAAATCTTTATTATTAAAAAACTCATCAATTTCTTTTTCAAATGACTCTCTATCAATTTTATGGTAAAAACATACAGGAAATCGTTTTTGATATCTCATAAAGAATTTCAATTGTAATTGAAACTTTGTATATCCCTTATCCTTATATTCTTCAACAAACAACTTTTCAAGGTCTCTTGTTATACAGCATTGATTACAATATACATCATATTCACTTATTTTACTACACAGATTAGCAGGTAATAACTTATACAATGTAAAATTAATATCATTCTTTTTATTATTACAACATTCACACTTACTATAATTAAACAATGTCATTTTTCCTCTTAATATATTAAGTCAATATTTCTTTAAGTCGTTTTCAAAGAATTTATTTTATAATGACCATAAGCAAGTGAGTTTACACTATCTATCCAATATTTTTTGTTTTCATAACTACTAAGAGCAATTTTTTTAGTTGTTATACTAAAAATTCTGTGGTTTTTACTTCTAATACTATTAAATGACTTATGTATAACCTCATTAGTTTTTAAAACCGTCTCAAACTCTTCATATTTCATTTGACGTCTTACTGTGCCTTTTGCTATGCCCTTACATTTCTTATATTTTTTATCATCACCATAAACTGAGTAAGCATAGCATTTAGGACGAAGAGCTATAAACCCTGTTATTATTTTACTTTTTAATTCATCCTTAAATTTACCTAATACTTTCTTGTTATTATCATCATAACATTTATGTTCCTTAGGATAATCTGAAAAATCTAATTCTTTTTTAATTGTATTCAGGTCTTCATAAATGTCATTGGTTTTAGTATGAAATACAAAACTATCAGTATCAGTATATACCATTTTAATATTATCTCCATATTTAGGCTTCATAACGTCATAATAAAATTTATACATGTGTTGCTTACTCAAATCTAAAATACTCATCCCAATAAATATAGGTTTGTCTAGTTTCAACTTTGTTTTTTGCTTTTCAACTCCAACCAAATTTTCATTAATGATATGACTATGTTTGAAGTTAGGATTACTTACACACTTCATATATCTAGTTTCATCACTCACAACTTCAAAGTCTAAATGTTTTCGCTTATCCTCCATTGTTTTTCCAAATATGGCATTGTTCATCAATTTATAAACATCTTTCTCAAAATCATTTCTAGCATTCTTCCTCTTCTCTGTGTTAAACTCAATGTAAGGTTTTAAAACTTCTTTTTGTTCAAATTTAATTGCTCTATGAATTTTCTTAAGTTTTAACCCTTGCTTCAAATAAAATTGTAAGGTTCTTATATGGATTACATATTTTTCTTTATCATTTAAATTCAATACTAATTTATTTGTTTTCTCATCCGTAGGTTTTTTATGATTTAAAAATTCATAAATTTCAATTTGTTTATCTGACAGCATGTCGGCTTTAACATTCATAACCTCAGGTGCCATTGGATAGTCATTGTGTAAAT